TTTAGCCTCCATATGTTTGAATTTTTAATAATTTTTTTCCTGTAATTGAGATCTAATCTTACTGCACTGTGGTCGGAAAATATGACTGGAATGATTTCAATGTTTTTGAATTTCCCAAGGCTAGATTTATGGCCCAGGATGTGATCTGTTCTGGAGAAGGTTCCGTGTACACTTGAGAAAAAGGTGAAATTGATTATTTTGGGGTGAAATGTCCTATAGATATCAATTAGGTCTAGCTGGTCCATTGTGTCATTTAAAGTTTGTGTTTCCTTGTTAATTTTCTGTTTAGTTGATTTATCCATAGGTGTGAGTGGGGTATCAAAGTCTCCCACTATTATTGTGTTATTGTTAATTTCCCCTTTCATACTCATTAGCATTTGCCTTACATATTGTGGTGCTCCTATATTGGGTGCATATATATTCGTAATTGTTACATCTTCTTCTTGGATTGATCCTTTGATCATTATGTAGTGTCCTTCTTTGTCTCTTTTCACAGCCTTTATTTGAAAGTCTATTTTATCTGATATGAGTATTGCGACTCCTGCTTTCTTTTGGTCTCCATTTGTGTGAAATATTGTTTTCCAGCCCTTCACTTTCAGTCTGTATGTGTCCCTTGTTTTGAGGTGGGTCTCTTGCAGACAGCATATATAGGGGTCTTGTTTTTGTATCCATTCAGCCAGTCTTTGTCTTTTGGTTGGGGCATTCAGCCCATTTACATTTAAGGTAATTATTGATAGGTATGGTCCCATTGCCATTTACTTTGTTGTTTTGGGTTCGTGTTTATACAACCTTTCTGTGTTTCCTGTCTAGAGAAGATCTTTTAGCATTTGTTGAAGAGCTGGTTTGGTGGTGCTGAATTCTCTCAGCTTTTGCTTGTCTGTAAAGCTTTTGAATTCTTCATATCTGAATGAGATCCTTGCTGGGTATAGTAATCTGGGTTGTAGGTTATTCTCTTTCATTACTTGTAAGTATGCCCTGCCATTCCCTTCTGGCCTGAAGAGTTTCTATTGATAGATCAGCTGCTATCCTTATGGGAATCCCTTTGTGTGTTATTTGTTGTTTCTCCCTTACTGCTTTTAATATTTGTTTTTTGTGTTTGATCTTTGTTAATTTGATTAATATGTGTCTTGGGGTGTTTTGCCTTGGGTTTATCCTGTTTGGAACTCTCTGGGTTTCTTGGACTTAGGTGGCTATTTCCTTCCCCATTTTAGGGAAGTTTTCAGCTATTATCTCCTCGAGTAACTTCTCATGGCCTTTCTTTTTGTCTTCTTCTTCTGGGACTCCTATGCTTCGAATGTTGGGGCGTTTCACATTGTCCCAGAGGTCCCTGAGGTTGTCCTCATTTCTTTTGATTCTTTTTTCTTTTTTCCTCTCTGCTTCATTTATTTCCACCATTTTATCTTCTACCTCACTTATCCTATCTTCTGCCTCCGTTATTCTACTGTTGTTTCCCTCCAGAGTGTGTTTGATCCCATTTATTGCATTATCATTTTTAATTGACTCTTTTTTATTTCTTCTAATGTTAAAGAAATGTTAAACATTTCTTGCATCTTCTCAATCCTTGTCTACCAGCTATTTATCTGTAACTCCATTTTGTTTTCAAGATTTTGGGTCATTTTTATTATCATTATGCTAAATTCTTTTTCAGGTAGATTCCCTATCTCCTCCTCTTTTGTTTGGCTTGGTGGGCATTTTTCATGTTCCTTTACCTGTTGGGTATTTCTCTGCCTTTTCATCTTGTTTAGATTGCTGTGTCTGGAGTCGCCTTTCTGTGTTCTGGTGGTCTGTGGTTCCTTTTTATTGTGGAGGTTTCTCCCAGTGGGTGGGGTTGAACGATTGGCTTGTCAAGGTTTCTTGGTTAGGGAAACTTGCGTTGGTGTTCTGGTGTGTGGAACTGGATTTCTTCTCTCTCCTTTCGAAGACAGTGGGCTGCTTTTCTGGGCACCTGATGTCCTCTGCTAGCGATCAGAAGTTGTTTTGTGCAGTTGCTCAGCGTTCAAATGTTCTTTCGATGAATTTGTAGGGGAGAAAGTGGTCTCCCCATCCTATTCTTCCACCATCTTAGCTCCTCGTCTTCAGTGTCAGTTCTGTACTAACTTTTAAGAAAATTCTATCTGTATATGTGTGCTTATGTAAATTTTTGTTATTCAGTTGCTAAGTTGTGTCTGACTCTTTGTGACCCCATGATCTGCAGCACACCAAGCTTCCCTATCCTTCACTGTCTCCCTGAGTTTGCTCAAACTCATGTCCATTGAGTCACTAATGGTTATCTCATCCTCTGTCGCCCCCTTCTCCTCTTGCCCTCAATCTTTCCCAGCATCAGGGTCTTTTCCAATGAGTTGGTTCTTTGCATCACATAGCCAAAGTATTGGAAGCTCAGCTTCAGCACAGGTTCTTCCAATGAATACTCAAGGTTGATTTCCTTTAGGATTGAGTGGTTTGATCTCGCTCTCCAAGGGACTCTCAAGAGTCTTCTCCAGCACCACAGTTCTAAAGTGTCAATTATTTGGTGCTCAGCCTTCTTTATGGTCCAACTTTCACATCCATACACGAATACTGGAAAAACCATAGCTTTGAATATATGGACTTTTGTCGGCAAAGTGATGTCTCTGCTTTTTAATACACTGTCTAGGTTTGTCAGATCTATTCTTCTAAGGAGGAAGCATTCTGCTACAGGCTTTCATGGTGGCTCAGACAGTAAAGAATCTGCCTGCAATGCAGGAGACCTGGGTTCCATCCCTGGATCAGAAAGATCCCCTGGAGAAGGGAATGGCTACCCACTCCAGTATTCTTGCCTGGAAAATTCCATGGACAGAAGAACTTGGCAGGCTATAGTCCATGGGGTTGCAAAGAGCTGAAGATGACTCAGTGAATAACACTTGCATTTTTTCAAATATTCTTCTGTAGTATTCAAGGTATAACTCAAGTATGCTTCAAGGCATGGAATAGCTGCTCCTCATGGAGCATGTTCTCCAACGGAATGTGCTGTTCTCATTGCATAGGTACGATAATTGCATAGTAACAACTGAATGGGTATCATGCAACATCATATCATTTGAAGTCCTAAAAGTTGCTTCTCTGACTTATGTGTTTATGATAGTTTTAAACACAGCTTTTATCCATTAGATAACATAATACCCTCCCTCTCTATATGCATGTTTGCATGTGTGTATGCATGTATGTGTGTGCTGTGTGTACATATATATACCACTGCTGAAAGGGATAAAAATAAAAACTACTGATTTAATTAAGCAACTATCCAATAACCTCATTGCCAGATCTACTGACTATTTCTTCTTAATTATCTCTACTTTCTGATCTGTAAATTTTTTGATAGTTGCTGACTACCATCAACAGCTACCCATCAGGGTATGACAACTCTGCTGTATTCCTGCCTATAGCAGGCTTTGGCTACACAAATAATAGTTGCTGTCTGTGATAAACAGTCACTTGGATCCTACTGATTATAGCTACATGTTTTTAAGGTAGTAAGATTATGTGCACTAATCTTAGGTTTAATTTTAATTTTATTAATTGGTGAAATCAGAAATCAGTTAGGAAAAACAAAATAAAACCCAAGGCTGATGATGCTTTAGGGAAATATACACATATTCCTTCCTCATGCCATTAAAATGGATGAACTGGTTGAAATAGCAAACTGGTGTTAAGATTGTTTTTCTTGTTCAGTCGTGTAGTTGTTCTAGAATACTCCAGTATTCTTGGACTTTCCTGGTGGCTCTGCAGTGCGGGAAACCTGGTTTTGATCCCTGGGTTGGGAAGATCCCCTGGAGAAGGCAAAGGCAACCCACTCCAGTATTCTGGCCTGGAGAATTCCATGGACTGTATAGTCCATGCAAAAGAATTGTACAGGCCTGAGCGACTTTGATTGTCACTTTACTTTTTTTTTTTTTTTAAAGAATATTTGTGATAGATCCTTAATTGCTCTATCTGAAGACACTCTCCTTTTCAGTGAATCTTGTCAGAGAAGTCTTTTTGAAGCACAGATCAGAGCATATTGCTTTCTCTATTAAAAACCTTCAAAGACTTCTTATGAATAAAGAGATTCTTGATCTCCATCTAGTCTTCAAGGTTCTCCACTAGATGGCTTAAACTTGCTTTTCTTTTTTTAGAAAAAAGAACTTTCTTTTCTGACTTCCCTCTCAAGTCTTTTTTTTCTCTCATGTTCTTCATGTTTCCTTCTGAGCCTTTCATAATTTTTTGGCTTTTACCTAACCATTTCCCTATTTTCATATTTCTGGATCTCATCCATGCTTCAAGAGTTGGCTTTCAGATTTACCTTCCAGCTGGGAGTAATCTTTTCTTCCTGGGAACTCCTAAAGGATTTTTCTGTTTCTTTGTCATTGTGGTTAGTATACTTCCCGTTGTACTATGGTTATTTACGTGTGTGTTACTGATATTTGTTAAGTTCTTTAGGGTCTGGATTTATGTCTCATATATTTCCTGTGTACTTTATATGGTATGTAACGCATATTTATTAAGTAAATAAATGTAAAGAGCTCTCTTGTTTGGGGAACATTTTGGGAAGAACAAAATTTTGAGGATTCTTATTAATATACCAAAGGCAGTAAAGATTATATGTTCCATAAGAACCTACAGAAGTGCATTTGAAAGTAATTTTGCTTTCAATAAAATATTTTTTGCTTTCAAGAAAAGAAATATAAGAAATTAGATATGTAGATTTGACCTTGAATCACTGATTCAAACTATTTTCAAACAGATGAAAGCTAGTTTTTAAAGGCATGTAGACTAGAATATAGACTTAACAGTATATTCACTTGTTTAAACAGTTACTTATACAAGTAAGACTTGCAAGCAGTAACATTTTGGTTTTCTTTAGTATTTCTATAATATGCAGCTCACATTTTATAAACTCCCAGTTCTTAATCTTGTTGAGAATTTTTTAAGGAAATTGTTGATTTTTAAATAGTTCTGTTTCCTTTCTTGTATACATATGTTTTAAATTTTTTGTTTGTTTGCAGGTATCCTGGTCAGATATAGGAGGACTGGAAAATGTCAAGCTGAAACTGAAACAGGCTGTGGAATGGCCCTTGAAACATCCTGAGTCTTTCACCCAAATGGGTATTCAGCCACCCAAAGGAGTTCTTTTGTATGGGCCACCTGGATGCTCTAAAACAATGATCGCAAAGGCTTTGGCCAATGAGAGTGGACTGAATTTTCTGGCTATAAAGGTAGGATTTAAGTTTATTAAATTGTTACTCTCTCTTCCAGCAGCCCGCCCCCTCTGTCCCACCCCCTACCTATCCTCTGATTCCTACCCTTAGGAGAGAATGAAAAGCCATCTTGAGTAGTTTAATTTTTTTTTTTTTGCGGTTAATGGCAATGTAATACAGGGAGATGAGAGATAAATAAATTGGTGCCTATAATCAGCAAATCATGGTTTAGTTTATTTTCAATATTTCTTACCCTCACCCATATGTAATAGAAACCAGTTTTCTTTTTTTTTTTCTACTTTTCTTTTTTCTAATTTTCTTTTTTTACTTTTGCTTAACCATGACTTAAATATGAATTTAATTATGAATTTAATAAATTTAACATTTATAAACATAATATTTTAAAAGAACTCAGATACTTTATATGGAAAAAATAAATTTTTAAAAAATATTTTTCTAGTCACAAGGTATATATACATTTTTTATATTCTGAAACATACACACACATATTGTTTGTTCACTGCATGCCAAGTTGCTTCAGCCATGTCCGACTGTGCAACCCTGTGGACTCTAGCCTGCCATGCTTCTCTGTCCATGGGATTTCCCAGTCAAGAATGCTGGAGTGGGTTGCCATGCTCTCCTCTAGGGTATGTGTACACACACACAAGTATATATATATATATAAAGCCTTAAATTAATCTCTATAGACATTATCACAGAAGTATCTATTTAAATATGTTAACCATCAAAGTCATTTAGAAAAAAGGCACATGATAATTTATTTTGATGTTGTCAGGGAATTTTTTTCATAATAAAATGTTTCCTGTCTTAAAACATTGAAATCATTGGCAGTTTTCACAATTATTTTAGTATAAACATTTTAGAAGGTCAGTCTTTTATTAATACTTTACTGTTGATTCTTGAACAACCTAAATTTGAACTGTGTGGTTCCATTTATACACAGGTTTTTTTTTTTTTTTTAATACTAATTACTATGATATTACATTATCTACAGTGCATTGAATTGGCAGATGTGGGGGTACTGTGTATATGGAGTTATACTAAGTTATACTTAGATTGCATGGAGGACCAGAGCCCTCACCCCCTCATTTTTCAAGGATCAGCTGTACTTTCTGTGAAATGTTATTTAGATGTATTTAGGTTATTTTCCTTTTGAGGATCATTATCATCACAGTCACTAATGTTTGCCTTTTTTTTTTTTTTATCTTGTGGAAGATATTGGATATGGATTTGGGGAGGAGACCATTTTCACTATGATTAGTTACGCTGACTCACAACTGTAGTTTTAAGGGTTGCAGTTTTAAATGTTGGAGTAATGAGTGATTTTGAAATTTCCAGAGACATCTTGATTTCTCTTTGGTCCTTCTTCTCTTATCTTGTGGTAATGAACATGGCCATTTTACTGGCATTTCCTCCTTTTTTTTTTTCCTGTCATCTTCATTTCTCTATGCCTACCTTCCACAACTGTATAGTCATAATCTTTGAATTTTTCCTGAGTACTGGATACCTGAAACTTATTTAATGAGGACTTAGCTCACAGTTATTTAGACTTGAATATCAAGGAAGAAAAAGCATGTGTATTTCCTTACAAATTAGTATGTCACTCTTTTGTGGTTGAAGATAACAGTTGCTACCAGGACTGCTTTCTGGCCTACCCTAGGATTACTTAGAAATATATTTATTGCAGTTTTTGGCTTTGAAACCTTTCATAACTTTATAGTTTCACTTTGATCTTTTTTCATGGTGAAAAAATAGTAAAAAGATTTTTTATAAGGTTTATCTTGGACACTGTTCATATAAAATAACCATGTGTTAACTTATAAATGCCTTTCATTAAGTATTTAATTCTTTTAGGTCACATACACAAAAGATACATGATGTTAAGAAATTTTCTTCGTAAGTTGAATTTGTATTTTCTTAGGAAAGGTTACATATCCTACTTATTAATGTTTATTTAATGTGGACTTTTATTCATTATACAATTTTGTGTACTTTGATGGTATTAATCAATTTTTAAATCTGGGTGGAGAATATAATTAATGAACAATGCATGTTCATTTACTGTTCTTTCAGATTTTCCTGTCTGTTTAAAAATTAAAAAAGAAAAAATTAACATGAAAATAATTTGCTTTTCTATGCATTTTCATTGGTTCTTTCATCTTGGTCTGATTAATTTATGAGAAGAGTTAAAGTAGCTATGGGCTTCCCAGGTGGCGCTAGTGGTAAAGAACCTTCCTCATAATGCAGGAGACATATGAGATGCGGATTCGATCCCTGGGTAGGGAGGATCCCCTGAAGGAGGACAGGGCAGCCCAGTCCAGTGCTCTTGATTGGAGAATCCCCATGGACAGAGGTGCCTGGCGCGCTACACTCTACAGGGTTGCACAGAGTTGAACACAACTGAAGCGACTTAGCACACACAAAGTAGCTGTATCATATAGTTTATGTATGAGGAAATCAAGCTAAAGAAGTTAGGGATTCATGTTGTATTCTTGCAAGTTTTATTTTCCTGTGAAAAAGTTGTCTCGTTTTCAACATAGATATTTGTTTTCTATGGGATTTAAATATTATAATTAAATTTGAACTTATTGCAATAATAAATCTTATAAGTTTTGAAAGTGATCAGAAAAAAAATAGATACCAGTATTGGGAGACCTAAGTGTTTTGGATATATTGGAAAGAATAAATTCCCTAACACTTTTTGCAATGGTGATTACCTTTAATTTCCAAGATAAAGAGTTTTAAAACTTTAAATGTTTCTTTCTCTTAGTTTATGAAAGAACCCTTTAGCTCCCTCTGTGCATCTTTTCTAAACAGTGATTAGAAGATTTATATTCTGCTCAGAGTTAAGTCTTCAGCTTGGCTTGTGTGGGCTTTTAATATCCTTTGGCATCTGTATGTGTTTTTGTACAGGCTGTAGCACTTGACATATGCTTAAGTTTAGTTTGTCATCTGGGTCAATTACGTCAAAATATTTTCCAGTTGAAATTTCCTCTCTGCTTCTCTTTTGCTTTTTTTCTGGAGTGCTACAATAGATTAATTACCTTTGAATAGTTGGGCTACTTCACTTTATGAAGAACTGTTACTGATTCTGGAAAAAGCGGGGCTAGGCCTCTGACAGGGATTTTCGGCAAGTCCTTTATGAACAGTATTGGCAAGTACAAGAATATAATGAACCTAGTATATCCTTGACTTTTGGGGGAAATTTTTTCTGATATGTGTCTCATAGAGGAATTGTCCAAAATATATCCCATTTTCAGGAAAACAAACACAACTGTGTATTTTATTGAAGTCAGTGCACAATTCAGAGTAGTTACTTTTGTCCATTTACTAGATGCCCTACTATTCTGTTACCAAAGGTACAAGTTAATCTGAACTTTATAAATTCCAAGTTCATCTTTAAGCTTTTTTTAAAAAAATCGTGTAGGCTAGTCTATAAATCATGGAGCTTTCATTTTGCAGATACTGCATAGAAAACTGCATAGATACCTCTTTTATATACAGAATGCTTTAAGATTAGTTTCTAGGATGACAAAGGAGGATGATGTCTAAGAAGGTGAAGTGACTTTTCCAAGTCAAAGAAATGCTGATAGAACTGGAATTTGATCTCAGGACTTTGTGACTCCAGAGTCTAATCTCTGAACCACTGTATAATACAATCTTCCTTTTTTTTTTTTTTTAAATAAAACTAGTGTCCAGTACCTTTTTAAATTAATTACACCAAGTTACTAGAGAAGGTAGTTCAGGCAGTTTCTATAGGGCAAGTTCAGAGATGTGGAAAGACATTTCTGGGACCTAGTTTAAAGAATAATTTTGCTTCTCTAGGGCAAAGAAAACTGAGGAAAACAGCATAGCTTTGGAGTGGAAGTTGGTTGAATTAATAAGAAAGGGTAAGCACTGCCAAAGGAACAGGAACCTGATGAATTAAATGGAAGTTCAGGAGCAAAGACTAGAGGTTGGATAATGTAGAGCTTGAAATTTACTCATTAGTATATAATTTGTGCCCTTGAGGTTGAGTGTGTTACAATGAAAAGAGCATGAAGCTGGGATTCATACAGCTTTGGTTCAGTTTCTAATACTAGCACTTTTTAGCTCTATAGCCTTAACAAATTCTCTAAGACTTAGTTTTTTCATCTGTATAGGCCTTTGGAGAGAATTATTTTAAAAACATAAATGAAAAAGTTTTAGAGGACCTAACTGCTTAACTCCTGAATATAGTTATGACTTCCTTACCAAGAGTTCAATGTGGAAAGGAGGGAAGTGAAGAATTACTTGGTAGTGGAGAAACCTGCCTCAGCCAGGTGATCATGGTTAACATAATTAGGATTAGTCATGTTAGTATGTACCCTTGTATGTATAATGTGATGAGAATGGTACTTTATTCCCAAGGTCTTCCTCCCAAACACTCATAACCCATGTTTACCTATGAGAAAAACAGCAGGCAAACCCAAATTGAAGGACATTCATTCTGTAAAATAACCTGACCACTACTCCTGAAACTGAGTTGTGTCCGACTCTTTTGACCTCATGGGCTGTATCTTGCCAGGCTCCTCTGTCCATGGAATTCTCCAGGCAAGAATACTGGACTGGGTTGTCCAGTATATCCAGTCATATATCCAGTACAAATATACTATATATTAATAATATATGATAAGAATAGGGGAAACTGAGTGTATATTGGGGTAGGAATGAATATATGGAAAGTCTTGGTACTGTATGCTCGATTCTTCTGTGAACCTTGCATGAGTGCTCAGTCGTGTCTGATTCTTTGCTGCCCCATGGACTGTATGTAGCCTGACAGGATCCTCTGTCCAAAGGATTTTCCAGGCAAGAATACTGGAGTGCCATTTTCTCCTCCAGGGGATCTTCCTGACCCAGGGATTGAACCCACATCTCCTGCATTGCAGGCAGATTCTTTACCACTGAGCCATCAGGGAAAACCTCTGTAAACCTTGAACTTTACCAAAAGAAAAAGAAAAATCTGTGAATTTATTTAA